ACACACACACGCACACACACACACACACACACTCGGGAATCGAAGTCGGGTCTCTTGTGTGCTTCGGTAAAGATTACTGTAGAACAACGCTTGCCAATCTAGGCGGTATTGCCCACTGAATTTTGATGGTATGTTAGGATCACTTAGGGCGTGTTTTTTATGCTCCTCTTGAAAATACATTTGGGTGGGTAGGTGGTACGACAGAAGTGGCAAAAGTGGGCGATGGCTATAAAAAGTTGACGAACAAGCACTGCTCTAGACCATTGACATCCATGTGTTTCAGTTGTACTCCTGAACGCAGCTCTCCTGAGCTCCACCGGCGCCGTAGGTCCTTGGTGTTTCGACTGCAAGGACGCCTTCCACCCAGCCATCTGCCAGGACGTGGTGCAATGTGGGGAGCACGAGTCATGCGTCACGGAGAAAAGGTTGAGCAATAATGGCGGAGAGTTGTACAGCTCTGGCTGCAAGGCAACAGCTGACTGCAACAACGCCACGGTTGCTGTAAGGGCAAATCCCCCACCGCTGTGCTCCCAATGCTGCACGGGGACCCTATGTAACGAAGGCGGGTGTGGGGCTCCACAGATCAGAGACCATGGAAGACTCTTCTGTCTTAAGTGCGGTTTCGTCAAGAAGGCGAGAGACTGCGACCAAGTAGACATGTGCTCGGTCGACGAAGTCTGCTCCATGTCGATAAAGGAACAGTTTGGCTTTGATTTTCTCGAACTTGACTGTATGGCGAAGACGTCCTGCCCCCCAGACACGGCAACCCTAGCCGCAGACAAGTCCATTTGCTGTGACAATGATTTGTGCAACTCGAACGAGCTTGGTGTCGACCCTAGCATCTACACGACCACCCCGGCTCCTCTTCCCGGACCAGCCTCTGCCAGCTTCGATGACCCTGTGTTTGTGTACAACATTAGCCATCAAGTTGACGAGACCATGGATCTGACGTGCCGTGTTCGAGGAGGACCCGCCCCGACGGTCACCTGGACATACAGCAACGGCTCTGTGACTTTGGACATTACAACTGGAATCAGACGCGATCCTAGCGGAGACAGCATCCTATCAATTAAGACACCACAAAAGTCTGACTCTGGAAGCTACACCTGCAAAGCACAAAATGCATTAGGTACAGAAAATGCCGTTCTTAAAGTGAGTGTTCTTTCTCCACCCGCCATCAAAGGCTCCTTGAACGAAACGCGAGTTGTTAAACCCAAGACCAACGTAAAGCTGCCGTGTGAAGCAGACGATGCCACCAACGTGACGTGGGTAATCCCCCCTGACGTGGTCAGCTACAGCATCGACCAGAACAACACACTCACTCTCTACAACGTGCACGAAGAGAACGAGGCAGTGTACACCTGTGTTGCCCGAAACGCTGATGGCACGAGGGAAAAACGCTACACACTCAAGGTCAACGAAACCCACGTGCCCTGCACTTGTCCTACGCCAGTTCCTGTGTCCTGCCCGACCCCAGTGCCCGCCAGCTGCCCCCCACCGCCACCCACCTCCTGCCCGCCGTCCATCTCCCTCATCCCAACTTCTTCGTTTGCCAAGTCCTCATTCTACACGCCAGGGAACACAGCCACCACCCTAGGCCCAGCTACGAGCAAACCTACACCACCAGCCTCCGCTTCCACCCCGTATCCGTCAGGGGGGACCATCCAGCCGGTTGTACCCAACACGTCCAACCCCCCGGCAATTTCTACCGCAGCTTCACAGTCGACAATCTATCCAAGTACACAATTTGTTGCACCCAACACATTTACGAGCATTCTTGATCATAGGTATTTCGTTTTGCAGTGTCCAGTCACCCCAGGATATCCGGTAACCTGGTCTCGCAGAGAACTTGGTTATGATCCACTCTCGCCCTACTACACCTGGGACAATAGTCAAGGTACTTTCTCTATCAACACAATGGGCTCCTTTGACCCGATGTTTACCGGTGTCTATGAGTGTACGCAAGGAGGGACTCCACAGGGGCAATTCAACTTATATCTTCCACTGACGGCGACATGCTTCGACACATTTGGGAGCTTAACAAACACCAAAGGTGCTGTTGTCAGAGCGACGTGTGGAGACTGTGCAGGTGGCTATCTTCCGAACCCACCATCGACGTTAACTACAAGAAGTCTTCTTTGTTTCAGTGCGTCATCCAAAGGGTTGATTCCGGTGAGCGGAGGCACTATAACATATACGATAAAGAACAATGGAGACGTGGAGATTTTGAAGTAGAGTCAACGAGTAACTTTAAGCTAACGTCATATATAACCATGGAACGTGCATTTATAATGATGATATGATTTTCAAGGAGTTAATATCTTTTCCTGTGTCTAAATGCTATACTTTCAATAGAACAAGAATCATGTTCAGTATGTTAAGGCTGCGATGCTTGAGGTATGGTAGACATTTGCCCAAGAAGTCGGGTCGACTAGATCGGAATGTGCAATATTGGTTATAATAACACTGGGAATTTCGATAGCTCCTGATCCCAGAAGGCTCCAAGAGCTGTACAATACAGAAATATCTCTCAGCTTACGAAAGGAAGGACAGGAAATGCTCGTTGTGAGACCATTTATCAACAACAACAACAACAACAACAACAACAACAACAACAACAACAACAACAACAACAACAACAACAGCACACACACACACAAACAAACAACACAAACACACAGAAACAACACAAACACACACACACACACACACAAACACACAAACAACACAAACACACACACACACACACACATATACACGCACACACTACACCCAGTCAGTCCCACACAAATTCTTACCAACAAAATTTACTGGCAGAAGATAAAGTTGCACAATGTGTCTTCAGACCTTTCTAAAACTCTCAGCACCTTATACATGTACGTATATCTAGCAAGAAATCGGACCGGCCAAATGCACACGTAAGAATGATATGGGTATTCAACAATGACAACATTAGACCACTGAAGCAGCTTTGAAGAAGGACACAATTTTATTCGTAACAAAGCGCTTTCATCGTC